GCAAGTCGCGCAGTACTGCCAAAGAGCAGAAGAAGCAGGAGTTGGGGCCGTACAAATTCACTCACCAGCAGCTGGAGAAGGAAGGCGTCATTCGTCGCAGCAACGTTCCGGAGAACCGGCGGGCCAATATCTACTTCATGTTCAAGAGCCCGTTGCCGGGGACATTCGTTATCAGTCTACACTACAAAGGTGAGTCTTGCTCTGACAATCAAGTGTGAGAGGGAGAAGAGACTAACAAGGATCAATAGGACGGGCTCGTGGACTGCTGGAACTCGATCTCAAGCTTGATGATCTCCTTGAGATGCAGAAGGACAACCTCGAGGACCTTGATTTGGAGTATGTCCAGTTCAACGTCTCGAAGGTGCTGACGCTTCTGAACAAACGCTTTGCACGCAAGAAGGGCTGGTAAGGGATCTCGTCCCCAAGGCCCATGCGTCCCACGTTCCTCCCCTACGAATTGAAACGAGACCGAGCCGAATGATTCCCTCCGTGATTCTCTCAGTGCGGTTCAATTCCCACTGTTGACTCCGGCTTAGCGGATTGATTATTTGCGATGATCTGATGGCATTAATATATGTCCCTTATACTGCTTTTCATATCATCATCCTTGATGGACCAGGGTTTGCCTTGTGCAACTACTTCCCTCGTCCATGGCTGCGGGCGGTCTATGCGCCCCGTGTGAATGTTGTCTATATACACGAACATACCCCCGATGGAGGAAGATGCGGGACTTTTCCCCGCTGGTTCGGGCGAGAGCCGAGCATCTAGCTTCCATCCCGTTTTTCTTTGGGATTTACTCTTTCCCTTTTTTTGTGGCTTTTTCATGGTCTATACCCAACGCATATTTTGTGTTTTTGAGCTGCTGGGCATCATGTTTTCACCCCAATTTGGCTATGCGTTCTGTAATCCTATCGTTGTGCTTTTCCTTCATCATCCCCATTACCGCCTGGACTCCAGATGCGTTGTGTATAATAATACCTAGTCTGCGGTTGTCTGCCTGCGTTCAGTCGAATACCCGTTGTGTCCTTTCAGTTCTTAAATAAAGTGCCCTTTCGGATTTTCACTGATTAACTAGTAGTTGTACCCACCTGCCGATCCTGGCCAGACCACAACACACTATAACTAAATCAATGCAGGTGGACTGGGACGACACCGCCACCTGCCCATCCCCCTCTCTGGTTGTTTAACGTTTGACTTTGTAGAACCCGTTAAGGACTCAATCAGGATCTGCGCGGGGGGTCAAGGTAGAGCTGACATAGGGTTCCGTTTGCGGATAATGACCAACGACAACACCCTCTGCAATCAGAAGGAATAATGAGGTTAGGAATGGTCAATTGTCTTGTTGGCTAACGGGAGAAGCACACTAGCTCCGAGCAAAAAAAAGTTACCGGAATCGGCTGCCCCTAATTAAGGAAGAGAGGAAAAAAAAACAAACAGGATTTGCCGGCTGAGGCGGCTAGAACGAAGGGGGGAAAACCAAAAAAAAAAAATCATCATCACACGCTTAACCAAATGCAACATCGAATCAGCCCCTTCTAATTAGTGAAACTATTTCTCTGCCTGTTGCTGCTGGGCTCTTAAGTTATCTTGACTTCTCCAAGTGGCCAACTTGCCCCTTCCGCCTTCCCGCTTTCTTCACTCCCACCTCTCCCTCTTCCTCCCTCATTTACTTTTCCCACCCACATTTCTCTTCCCCCCACTATCCTCTCTCCCCAATTCTCCCCATTTCATCATCACAATGGCGGCCCCTGCAGAGCGTACCCTCGATCTCGACCCCAAGTATGACGATTACGACTTCCCCACCACCGCGCCGGAGCCACAGCCTGGCCACCCGGGCCACACCACGCCGGAGCAGGATGAGAAGGTCAAGCAGCTCCGCTCGGAGCTGGAGGAGCTGGGCTATACCCAGCGATTGGACACTCTGACTCTGTTGCGGTTCCTGCGTGCTCGCAAGTTCGACGTTGAGGCGTCCAAGTCCATGTACGTCGCCCACTTCTACACTCTCGGAGACTAGGCTCGCTGTCGGCCGATGCGGTCTCTTTGAACCCCTTTACTTTTGTGAGTGCGATGATGGACTAATCCAATTCACAGGTTCGTGACCTCTGAGAAGTGGCGGAAAGATTTCGGCACCGATGAGTTGGCGGGCACTTTCAACTACGAGGAGAAGGCGAAGGTGTTTGAATACTATCCTCAGTACTACCACAAGACGGACAAGGTGGGTTTTTTTTATTGACACTCATCCGGAGAAGAAGGCTAATATGCAATTCGAAATAAACAGGACGGACGGCCCGTCTACATTGAGAAGCTCGGCAAGATCGACCTCAATGCCATGTACAAGATCACGACCGGCGAGCGCATGCTACAGAACCTGGTCACCGAGTACGAGAAGCTGTCGGACCCGCGGTTGCCCGCGTGCTCGCGCAAGGCCGGCCAGCTGATGGAGACGTGCTGCACGATCATGGACCTGAAGGGCGTCGGCATCACCAGCGTCCCCTCCGTGTACGGCTACGTGCGCCAGGCCTCTGACATCTCGCAGAACTACTACCCAGAGCGTCTGGGCAAGCTGTACCTCATCAACGCCCCCTGGGGATTCAGCAGCGTCTTCAGCGTCGTCAAGGGCTTCCTGGACCCCGTCACTGTCAACAAGATCCACGTTCTGGGCAGTGGGTACCAGAAGGAGCTGCTGGAGCAGGTCCCCGCTGAGAACTTGCCCGTTGAGTTCGGCGGTACCTGTCAGTGTGAGGGTGGCTGTGAACTCTCGGACATGGGCCCCTGGCAGGATCCCGAGTGGGCTCGCACCCCCAAGTGGGCTCTTCCCAAGGAAGGTGGCGAGGCTGTTGTTCACAACGAGGACCCAGGCATTGAGAAGCCCGAGGCCAGCGCATAAAGGCAACCGTGGGAGTTTCCTTGCCACCAATGTCTCGCACCGCATCATCACACAAAAACAAAACAATACCCCCCCAACTCATGGAGCAAGAGAAAACCCGGATAAGGAGCCATCGGGGGGACTCCTTATCATCAGAGCGCGATCCAGATCTGCTGTCTTTACACTATTTCCCAGGTCTTTCGAGACCACACACAGAAACATCCAAACCCTCTCAAACCCCGTACATCCCTCTTTTTCCCCCCCCCCTCTCTCTCGTCCACCTGGCAGACCGGACTTTTCCTTCTGGTAGTTTCAATATCTTCGCCGACCCTCTCCCTCTCTTCCCCCGCGCCACATATCCACTTATGTATGTGGCTCATTTCACTTTCTTTTTTTGGTCGGAATCTAGATGTCCCATGGAGAGATTTGCTTTTACTGTACGTTTGCTTTGATGTTCCCACTGTTTGTTCAAAAGAAGCAGCCATGCACCCGCGCTATAGACAGGGCAGGGCAGGGCTGGATTCAAATTAAAACGGTGAAGATGGTCATTTCTTATCTTTATAGGGCGGCGACTATATACAGGAGAAAGAGCACATGCTTGGAGGCAAATGGAAGAAGCTCTGGCTAGATAATTAGATCGATGTATGTATTGAGCGCGAGTTTTGCAATGCGAACTGCCTTCGTTCGGCCTCAAGTACCATAGACCTGAAAGGGAATAAATTCACTCATGGATTGACTGCAATAATAGGAAAACATGGATATCATGATAATCAACCTCCCATCAACCAAACCAAGCCCTCGGATGAAGAAACGCCGCACCCTTTTCTTTTCAAAAGGAAGAAAGAAAGACAATAAGAACCGAATCCAAATCCAACCCAAATCACATATTCTCCACCACCTCCGCCGCCCGTACTGCCCTTTCGGCCTTGCCCACCGTCGTAGCTAGCGCATTGCCCTCGACTATTCCAGCCTCGGAAGAAGGGTCAAGATCTCCCTCCTCACCCTGTAGCCGCAGTAACATGCGCAGCGCGTTCTCGTAAGCAGCGGCCATATCCCCGCTCTGCCAGCGCTCCGTCTCTTCCTCTGTCCCCAGCGGTACCTGTAGCGTCCACGCTGGATCATGTCGCTTTCGCCGTTGGCGATGTGCGCGTGTCCGGGTAGAGGCAGATTGTTGTGCGCCCTCCTTGTCCTTATCTTGACTCGTCACGTCCTCCGATTCATCCATTGCTTCTTCCTCATCTTCTCGTTCTTGATCCTCCACCTCCTTTTCTTCTTCTTCTTCTTCTTCTTCTTCTTCCTCCTCCTCAAGTGTCCGCTTCAACAGCGCCGCATACTCCCTCGCCGCCTTCTGCGGCGCCTCCCGCCGTAACTGCGCAACACTCGTAGTTAGGGACTCCAGCTGCGCGTAAAGAGCCGTCACGCGCGACGCCAGCTCCGCATCGTAGGCCTCGTACTCGACTGTCTCGTCCGGGGCTGTGAAGGAGGCCGGGAATGGGAATTGGGGGGACGAGGAGTCGATCCCGTTTATGCTGATTGAGGAGGAGGCTGTTGTGAATGTTTCGTTTATGTACTTGAATGAATCAGCCGTGAGAATGGTATTCTTTTTCTGTTTCTATTTTCTTGGGGAATTTGGAGTTACCTCGTCGACTAGCTCCCGGACGCGTTCGCGCATTGGATCGGGTTCATTGTTGGCGGCCGAAGGGGGGAGGTGTAGGTCTAGTTTGCGTCGGGAGAGCGCGACCGTGTTGGCGTAGAGGTAGGTAAAGTCTGCTGGGGATTGCACCTCGACTTTGCGGTAGTGGGCGGCCATGATGGGTGGGAGGGATGGTGGAAGCACTGAAGGAGTAACGAATCGCGTGGGAAAACAAAAAGGCGGTGCTGCTGATCCCCGCAAAGCCCATGTTGCATCACCACTGACTTCCTCCTTCTCGCAACACTTCCTCACCCACTTTTTTCTTTTCTTTTCCCCCGTGTTACTCTTGGGTACCTCCATCAACAATGCACCCCCCATAGAGGTCATGCTCTTATCCTTTGTCCAGTTCTATTGACCGTTCTGGCCTGGGATACGTACTGCGGACAGCAGAGCGCTGTATCGTAACCGGCCCGCTTGTCCCTTGCATGCTACTCCCCCAAAATGGAGAACCAAAGCAGCATTGTCCTCGTGGACAACACTGCCCCCACTCAGCGGTCCGATGACCTCTCGCGGCGTACAACTGGACACGATCCCCAAGGCAGCCTGTCGCGGCATTTGACTCGAGTATCAGTGACGAATCAGCTTGCCAAACGAAAATATGCCAAATGGCAACCAGAGAGACTAGGAATTCCGAGCGATACCGACACTCCGATTACCAGAGAGTCATCGCGAGCGCGAGGTTCATCCGTCTCAGAGGGCAGTGTGACCCAACAGCGAAGCGGACGATCCCCGCCGGACGACGCGGGCAGGGATGTCGACTCGACGGACTTTGCCCCCTCTCGAGTCCAAAGCAGACATAATCATACGAATAGTGTCCAATCAGCTGGATCTGCGCAGCAGCAGCAGCAGCAACAACAACAACAGACCAATGAGTCTTCCGATGAAAGCAGCAAGCCAGTCTCAGAGCTGGACATTCTCTACGAGAACCAACGTGGCTGGTTCCTATTCGGGATTCCGCGCTACTCCCACGGCTCACTGCTAAATCTCGATCCCGGCGCCTGGATGACTCCAGACCGGAGGGAAAGCCCCGTGAACATCACCAATGCGCAAGTCCCAGATCCCAGCTGGGAATGGGCCTGGCGGGCCTGGTATGTCGACATGTCGGGGGACGTGGACGAGCAGGGCTGGCAGTACTCATTCTCGTTTGGGTCGTCGGCATGGCATGGCACGCAGCCCTGGTTCCACTCATTTGTCCGTCGCAGGCGATGGGTTAGACTTCGGACTAAGATTGCGGCGAAACATCGCGTTCGGTCCGATTTTGAGAAGGCTCATATGCTGACCGAAGACTACTTTACTATCCATTCTTCCAAGGGCCATAGCCGTGAGCAGAGCTCTGCGAGCCTATCCAAGCTGGCCTCGGGCTATTTGAGTCGCGCCACTACGAAGGTGGCTGAAGATGCACCCCCCGAGGAGATTGGGGACATCCCTACCTTGATGTACGCGTTGAAGCGGACTTCGATCGACCGGGAGAAAGTCGATGTCCTGAGGAAGTTCGTCCAGGAAGGAGGCGAGGAGCTGTACTATTTGAATGACAAGGTGAGTTGCGACCATATTCTTTCACCAACACGTTTCCTAACTCCGAACCCAGATCCCGGAGATCATGTCTATGTTCCTCTTCCAAGCGTCTCGATGGCAGTTTGTTTCGCATCTTGTCAGCGTCGTCAATGAGCTATCCAAGACAGCCGCGGATCAGGATGGAGACGGCAAGGACGCCGATCAGATCAAGCGCAAGCAGGACAACCTTGCCCGCGCGGCGGAGACGTGTCGGCTGCACATCACAGGCCCGGATGTCTTTGCCGATGACCAGGGCGAATCAGTGACGGGAATGCTGGATTTGACACCCGTGTCTCGACAAGATACTCTGCTGTCAAAACGACCGAAGTTGCCCTCTCCTCAGCTGTCGCACAAGGGGAAGGGGAAGGACATCCATGGAATTCCCATGGCAGCGGAGGTTGGCCGTGAGGGTCATCTTCAATAATTCGAGGCATTTGCTCATTGGCACATTTATTTGTCTTTCTTTTATATGCATAACATAAAGCCCTGGCTACTGTACCATACACGAATACAATTTCATTTTCAATGTTGTATACTCCCCATCGGCCATCTAGCAAAATCCTTGTCGCTTCACCGCCTTCCGTTCCTTCCCGTTCCTTCATCATCTTGGCCGAGAAAAATATCTCCCGTTCTCTCTGATCCTCAACAGCTCGTCTTTCCCTCCTCCCGCCACGCCTCAGATGCTCCAGCATCGATCCCCATGTTCTCGTGTGGCCGCCCGTGTCTAAGAAGGCGAGGTCTGTCTGCCCTCTTGGACACCGTCGTGGCTGGCCCCGATGAACCTCTCCTCTTCCTCTACCCGCGCTGGGCTACGACCGCCGTGCGACAGCGAAGACCAATCACTTCTCTGAACCCGGTCGCAGCTCCGACAAGGAACCGTCAAGCTCTTGGCTCCCTTTGCCGCCCAACTATCAGGTCGTGCCCTGTACCATCGCTCTGCCGGCAGAACAGTCAACCGCTCTCGCCCAGCTCCGGTGATAATTCTCAAGATGTCCCAGGTCTGGATGGACCTCCTATTGCGGATGGAATTGATCTCAGATATCGGAGAAGAAGGGCGGCGGCGAGGACGTCAACCAAAGACTCCTCCACTCGGCAGAAATCCTCGTTCAATATCTTCGCCGACATGGAGGATGTTGAGAACCGTGCGGTCAGGCCACCTATATCATCTGGACGGAGAAAGGCTTTGAAGGTCTCGCGATTCAAATCCGTCATACAAAGGTCCGCCGAGGACAAGAGTACAATGTGGAAGCTGTCCCCCGAGGACCGAAGGAAATTACGGAACGCAAGATTTCTCAGAATGCAGAATATCCAACGAAATCAGAGAGACATTACCTGGAACAGGGTGAAGATGCTTCTGCAGTGGATACAACAAAACTCCCGCCCATGGAGCAGGAAAGGCGACAGGCACTTGGAGATGCAAGTACCCGAAGAGACCGTCGCTCTGCTCTCTGGAATGACAGACACGGCGATGAAGGAGAATATCTGGTATTGGGCCGTGCACCATGGATGCCGCGTGCATATATTCTCCCCGAAGATAGGTAATGGGACACATCGCAAAGTTATTCTGTCGGGCTCCGAGCACGTTTTGGAGCTCGTTAGCGAGCGAATCGATCGCATCCAAAGCCTCCAGGCCAGTCGAGACCCTCGAGTCGATATTGTCACGCCGCGAATCCCTTTGGTTACCTCCACGGAGGCTTTGCGGCGCCGAAGTCTCCCGGTGCCAGTCCCACGTGGGGTGTGGAACATCAAGCAAGCGGCAAAGAAGCCGAAGCCGCTAGATAAAGTTCTGGCGGCTCGTCCAAGTCTCAGTACAGTAAGAGAGTTTACCGAGTATATCGAGGACCTTACGCATGCTACGGAGCCTAGTCAGAAAGCCAATCGTGACCCGAGCATCCCATATCAGGAACAAATTGCGCAGGAGATTATGGTGCTTTTTCGAGAAGACTCAATTCGCAAATGCCTCTCGACTGCCGCATTAAACCGCGCACTGATCTTCCTGTGTGATCATCAACGCCTTCGCCGCGCCCGTGTCGTGTTCTCGATAGCCGAACATGTTGCGACTGCAGACACGTATAACATTCTGTTGCGGTCAGCTGCGCAACATCAGCATCTGCATGTGTTCAAGTGGCTTCTTCTGTCCATGTGGCGAGTGCACATTCGCCCAAATCCAGATACATGGCTGGCGCTGCTGGAGGCCTTAGTGAATCCCCATGAGAAAGCCGCTTTGATGGCTCAAATGGCCCAGTTGGGATACTTGAAAGATACCAGTACAATTCGGCGTGCGCTCCAACTCACCGTACAAAATTCACTCCTCGTGCATTTGGAGAGCGGTCAAGGCATTGACGTCTTCGTCAATTCCATGGTCACTACCCACGGCACCAACTGGTTTTCTCCATCTCTACTGAGGGATATGTTCAGTGTGATTGCCAGACTGCGAGATTTCGACTCTGCAGAACGGTTGCTGGAGATTTGCACTCAGCATAATCTCCTCGTCGACAGCTCTTCCCTCGCTGAAATCGTGTACATGTGCCGTCGGGACATCTTCTCTGCCCTCTACTTCACAAAGCTATTCTTGGAACGCCCTTCCTTCCGCTTATCGAGCAGAACTTGGGAGCGACTGTTCCTGGTCGCCTTCAAGGGCCGCCACTACAATATCTGCCGAGTCCTTTGGCGATACGCCTGCATGAACAAAGCCGTCTCGCACAACATGAAACGCGCCGTCCTCAGCTCCCTCTCTCGCAACGTGTCTATAAAAAACAAAGACTTGCTCACCAACTGCTTTCTCCGAAGAGCCGGCAAAGTCATCATTGGCGTCCCTGGAAATAATAAAAGAGCTACATTCAAAGAATCAACCCTCAACGACCTACCCAGCGAGTTCCACGCCAACCCCATTTCCTATTTCAGGAGAGGCTTCCTGGCCGGATGGGAAGAGCGGTCTCGCCAGCTCCGCCTCGCCAAGGCCCTCGTGGCCCGCGACATCGACCTCGGTGCCAGCCTATATCGGCCCAAGCAGCCCCTGAATCTCATGCTGGATGCTGCGGCGACATTGGATCGTGAATGGCGCGATAAACTGCACGGACTGCGTGGATTGACCTTCCTTCTGGATCATATCATCGAGGTGCCTGTGTGGCGGTATGGACTCACCAAGAGCAAGAGGGCCGACAAGGCGCGCCGTGAAGGAGCTCAGGCAGAATATCCTGTTCTGATCACTTGAACAATGCACCCGCTTGATGGATGCCTAGTCCCGCAATCCACCCGCTTGATGGATGCCTAGTCTCACTTCCCCGTATTTCACATATTTGTTCCTGTGTCTCTGAATTTCCCTCACTGCGCAATATACCCCTCAGCTGGATTTTGTCGTTTCAGTCTACCATGAGAGGAGAGACGGCCTCGTGGTGATGTTGGTGGTTGTGCCTACTCATACTTCTTCCCTCCTACATATCCTGCCTTGTACATATACTTGTATACTATGACAACCTAAGATGATGGAGCGGTCCTCTTCCACTTGTCAGAAGATTTAAATAATATTGCATCACCCTTCCATATCTATACTGGAATTTCTGCGTTCAGCCACATCATGGAAGCCTGATATCAGTTTTTGGCGGACATGGATTAGTGCACCTTCACGGTGCGCGACCAAATCATTCCAAATATTTGCTTATTGGAAAGGCTTCGATTAGAGTGAGAAGTGTTGATCACAATTTCTAATCCAAGGCTGGACAAGGCCTAATCTAATTTTAATCTTAATCGTCCGGTTGAATCTCGATAATTGGTGAACGTGGTATATTTACGCGAATGCGCTCTTTTTTTAGAAGTGACAAGATTCAGCTTCCGCGATTAGTTGCCGCGAGGCTGTTCAGAGCCTTGGCGATTTTAACCACGCTAAAACCAACGATGCAGCGAATGAGCGCTCCGCTAGACTTGAATAAGGCGGCCACTAACCTTTTCATCCGGATCGTCGCTCTAAGCCATCAAACTACCTCAGCACTAGTCCGTACTAGGCCGTCTCGTACAGAATAGCCGGGGTCGTCACTTGGAGAGCCTAACGAGCGCGAGTACGCTAACTACAATGGTCATCTATGCGTTTTGCCTCGCCCCCAACTATGGGGGCGGAATCTATAGATATACTTCATTTTCGATACAGCCTCACCCTCGCCATTATGAGCTGAATGTCCGACGGATAGTAGCAAGGCTGTGAATGTCTCCCTACAGCCTCGTAAATGTACATATAAACACATAAACCGCACGCTATCTTTGCTTTCTTTGTTTTCTTAATACATCGCAATCTCCTTCAAAACCATATGACACCATGATCCCGAAGCTTTCTTTATTCCTTGCCCTGGCTGGAGGGTTGTCTGCGGTCGCACTCCCGAGCAGAAACAGCACTCAACAGAATGCTTGTCTGCACGTCTCTAAGCTCGCCGCACAGGCCAGAAAGGCAAACGGTATGGAGTGAAACGGATCACCAATCTTGATATACACAACTGACAGGCCCCACCTAGTAACGGACATTGTTACAGTTCCCGGGGAGTTGGCCTACAACTGCCTTCAATCTATGCCCTTCGACTCTAAGAATGGCACTATTTTTGCCCAAGAAGTGAAGAAGTTTGTGCAATGGCAAAGCACGCTCGAGGTACTCCAAGGTAAGTGCAGCGCTTTAACAACTACGTCTTTTTCTAACATGCAATCTCCCCCCGCTAGACCCGCCGCTTGGATACTTGTCTCCCTCTACCGATATTCTAAGTGGCCTCGAATTTATTGAGGCCATGGCCCTGTTAGGACAGTTCAGCGGCCAGTACGAGTTTGACCAATCCATCAAGATGTTATTGGCAACTGCCAATGACGGACACCTCGCTCTTGAGACCTGCTCTTCGCAGATCTTTCAATTTTCACTAGATCTCCCTGTGGTATCAATTTCCAAGGATGGAGTCCAGATTCCACAGATCTACGCTGCAGCGGATGCAAAACTACTCAAGTCAGGCTCCTTCGCTGTCTCCCCTATTGTCGCTATCAATGGTGAGCCGGCAGCAGAGGCGATAGAAAAGCTATCTAGCCTAATGCCATTCCAGGACCCAGATGCTCGGTAAGTGTTATACCTAGTGTCGCAACCGGCCATCTAACAGGTCATCAGATATAACGTGATGTTCATGTCGCCCGTGCGGTCAGTGGCCGATTCGTTCCCTCCTGAAGGAACCTTCGCTACGCAAGCGCACGGTTGGCCGGGGCGATCGCTGTATGAGGTCCAATTTGCCAACGGGTCGACCATTCGCAAGCCAATTATTGCCCAGGCCCATGTCAACTTTGCGTATACCAGTGGTCAATCCTTACTCAACGGCGCTTGTCTCAAGTCTGCATCATCTTCCACGTCTCCAACATCCAGTGGGGGTTCTTTGAACACCACCAACCCTTTACCTTCCTATTATCCTAAGCCTCTCGTGCGGGATAATTACAATATGCTTTCCGGTTACTATCTCGACGAGCCTGATCTGCAGGATGTGGCTGTTCTTGCTATTCCTAGCTTCGAACCTTCCGAATACGCCATGGAGCCCGCCGAGTTTGCTATTCGCGCAACCAAATTCGTCGCGCAAGCCGCCCGAGACGGCAAGAAAAAGATCGTTATCGATTTGTCTGCCAACCCGGGAGGTGATATAGACAGTGGTTTGGACCTGTTTAGGATGTTCTTCCCCGACCAAGATATCTACCAGGCTTCTCGCATGCGCGACCACGAGGCTTTCAATCTTGCCGGACAGGCACTTGCTCATCTTGATGTCACCAAGCCAGCTGATTATCTTGCTTGCGCCAATGCCAGTGGACTTTGTCTTGAAGCTATTGTCAAACCCGACCAAACTCCGACTGAGGCTACACATTTTGAATCATGGGAGGAAATCTACGGGCCCTACGAACAGCTCGGAGGGAATATGTCAGCCTTGATGGGCCTGGAATGGCTGGCTAAGTATTCCATACCTAGAACTCCGATTCGAGGCTACGGTGGTATTCCTCAGGTTCCCAGCGAGCGACTATTTGAACCGGAGAATATTATCTTGGTAAGCGTTCGATGAGATCTTTATTGAGATGAAAATGCTAACAAACCAACCAAATAGTTGACAGACGGACTCTGCACATCAACGTGCACGATTTTCGCAGAGCTCATGAAGAACCAAGGCGCCGTCAAGAGCATAGTCTTTGGCGGACGTCCACGCGTCGGACCGATGCAGGCCCTCGGCGGTTCTAAGGGCAACACTGCTGCCCCGTTGTCGTTGATTTTTGAAATTGGAGAGACGGCGTACAAAGTCGCTCCGACTGCCGAGCTAAAGTACAAACTCTATGAAGCTTTCCCGAACCCCCAGATAATCCCCTTCCAGCTTGGTGGGGTAGGAGGGGAGGTCAACTTCAAGAGCTCCTACCGCAAGGGCGAGGATGAGGTGCCTCTGCAGTTCATCTACGAGGCCGCCGACTACCGTCGCTTCTATACATATGAGAACATTGTGAAGCCCGAGACCATGTGGGCTGATGCTGCTCGTACCATCTGGGGCGAGGGGGGAACCGTTGCGGGTTCGAATGCGATGGACTTTGTCTCTGGATCATCCGCGAGTGATTAACGGCCGTCTGAATGTTTCTGCTTTTGTTTCATCACTTAATATACTTGTTTTAGCGTTTGCGTGATTATTTGATGGTGCATATTTGTATTTAAACATTACTTCCTCTACGATAAGAGTTGATGAGCTACGCAAGGTGCTCGGCGAATATGAGTTTGAGGCTTCCAGCTTTCCTTCTTGGCAAACCTGTTCTTCTGCAGGTGGTCCTTCTAGCAAATGGTGGATCTGGATACAATTCTGTTCCATCCATCCAGTGCGCATTGGCTGTTGATTATTTGTACGTAGGTCACATGCATGGCTCTTTCATCCAGTGGCTGTGTATCTTCCCCGACGGCAATTCTGTTTTTCAAAAGAAGTGGAAATGGAAGATTTGGGCGACCTTGTGAAAGGGAGAATACCCAGCCTGCTATGGTAGTTACTATGAGAGATCATGTACACCTATTTTTGTACAGGTTGAGGGCGGACTTTGGGTGGCCAGGAGAGCTTTGTGAAAGGGAGTACACAGTCTACCATAATAATTACTATGAGAGATCATGTACTCATGTTTTTCACTGCGATTATAAAAGATTTTGCTGGTAATAAACCGTTTTGATTGAAAGGCGACTATCGCCTGCCGTATCTACGTTTTCCATTTTTGTTTGCACTAACCACTTTTTCCATCAACAACTCTCGTCTTCTTCATTCCTATCCAAACACCAGCTTTACCAGGCCTCCATATGCCAATACGTCTTCCTCCATCGTTGCAAATCTCATCAAGCCAGCATGAACAATCCCGAAACTGCCGAGTTCCTGTGCGGCCTTGCAGACACGGACGTCACTTTCGATCCACCACCCGAGCCGCCTCTCCACCTGTCCCGCCAAACTTGGGTGATCGAGAAGAAGCTCTCTGAACGATCTCAGCGGATGACGCAGCAGGACGTTTCCGATGGCCTGGGACTACCATACGCAGCTGCTAAGTTCATCTGCCATCGCAAGGAAAATCCTAGCAAGAAGGCTTTTATGCGGATTTATCTTCAAATTCCTGTCATTGACACTCTATACCAGAGCCCTCAGATTCGACGAAAGCAGGCTGCTAAGCCACGGCAGCACATCGAGTTGACGACCTTGAAAGCGCTCAAGAAATGGGATTGCGATGTTGTCCCTGACCTCCTTGCGCTACCAAGAGGGAAAGCAAGGCGAAGATAGTATCGTTCCGGGAGGTTACATCACTTATGTGGTCTGGGATAAAGTCCCCGGGGAGCCTCTGAGCCCAGAAGAATTCTGGGAGCTAGATCTTGAGTCACGCCAAGCGATCCGCGATAAATTCCGTGAAGCCTTTCCGTAAGTTTAAAGAGCTCTCTGCCTTGCGTGCTCTCAGCTGACAGGAAATAAGAAAGCTGAAGAAGTGTGGTTACCTACCGCGTATGTCAACCATGTCGAAGATCATCTATGACAAGGCTACCGGGAATATGTACGCTCTATCCGTTATTGAGTAGCGAACACAATAAGCTGACATCAATTAGGCATTTTTCAGGGGTTTCACGCGCAGGCCGTACTGATACAAACGAAGAGTGGCATGACAAGTACTACGTTCTGTTTCGTTTGGCCAAGCCATCTCCAAAGACAGACTGGGTCAAGGATCCCACACAGTGGACTTGGTGAGCAGCGAAGTCACACTCAACGCTGATACCGAGAGATGGGTCCGAGGGGGAATCTTGATGTAGGGACAATGGTTGCAACGGGAGTGAATTGGCTTCCAAGTTCTGAAAGAACCGATCAGTGGCTACTATGCTCATTGTCTTTCCCATCGTTGCATATCGTGGGACGAACCGCTGGTCCACCGGGCATACATCCTAGTAGTGGATCACACTATTCAGCAAAATGCCGAGGTGAATAACACGCGCAAGTACCTCCCAGTGTATTGCGCCATGCACCAGGAGAACCTCAATATCGCATTGAAGACGGTGGAGGGCCGCCGTGAAGCTCAAGGACTTGTGGCCAAAACTTCAAAGACACACAAAGTCCTTGAGCAGATGAACAACGAAAGATTGGTCCGAGAGGTCACCGATCCCGAGACTAAATACGCCTCTGCTTAAGACGATACAAAGGCGGTCATCACTGGAAAGAAGTACCAACACATTCTCCGGAACTTTCTGGAGCTTCAGGCCGACATGAACAAATATGCGACCATGTCCCCTAAACAGAAAGTGACCATGGCTAACGAATGGCGCACTGCATTCCTTGATGTGCTAGGAAAGGACTCGGACCTAGTGATTCCTGCAGCAAACAGCGTGAAACATCCCGCTCCCATACTGGTCCGCTGGAAGACCTCGGTGAATGCCGGCTTGAAGTCATCAATCGATGCTATGAGGTTGTCAAATACGTTGAGAGCAGCGTCACACGAGTCAAAGAAGTCTGGAACAAACATTTTGGGACCCTGGCCAATTTGAACGCTTCTGGAACAGTCAAGGCCGACTACATTCCTATCTGGATGCGGCCTGGCCCCGAGGAGACAACTCAGGATGATGGTCAGATGGTTTCACAAGCCCAAGCCTTAAATACAATCCCATCACCATTGTGGTGACCGGAACCCAAGAAGGAATACCCTGGCTGGGATCAAGTTCAGGATGCATTTGAGGATGCCACGGCGAAAGGTATAGTCCTCCCATTAGCCGAACGTGAGCTTCAGATGGATCACAGCCTATTTACTAGTGCTGGGATGCTCCGAGACCACATCCGTCGCCACTTCGACTGTAGTGAGCTAAGAATTAGTTTCGACTACCTCTTGTTGAGCTCTCAAAATGAAGATGGCGAAGAAAAACAGCGCGTCGACTTGCTTTATGGAAAATGGCACCGGATGAAAGAAATGTCTGGAGAATCCCGACAACTTCAGCTTCCGGATCGATGTCCGTTTTAGACAGCTTCTGGAAAATCGAAGATGCCTTTGAGGACCTTACACCTCCTCTGTGGATCTCAGAAGTCGATGCCCTATTGGCTTAGAGCGATAAGATTGCATTGTTTAGCGCAGATTGCAAGTGATTCTCGTTGTATTTTCTTTATTTCTTACTCTTGGTTTCAGTTTCTCATTGAATGATATGGCCTCTATAACCAAAACTAGTTTCTTATGGTACATAGGGTGCCAAACCCCCTTCGGCCGTAACGTATCAATCTCGGATTAGCATCAGAAGTCCAATTCGTAACATCTGTGTCCTCCTGTGGCGGCTTACCCTAGACGCGCAATCAATTCAAATAACAACAAAGAAACTGAGCGAACCAGATGAATCAGACAGAGTGAATACAATAAACAAATCATCTAGTCGCTGCATGTCTTACGCGATCTAAATAAGCAGAGTAGTTTTCAGCGCTCTGCAATGAATGCAACAAAGCAATGCAATCAAACCCATTGATCAAAATCTGTCTTTTTTTGCTCTGCTCTGCTCTGTTTTATCTGAGAATGCACCACCAATCCTAACCCGCATCACAGCTCCGCATAATAAGAATAATCCTGATTCAACTTATAAAAGACACTAGGCTCCGGCTGTCCAGGACCACCCTGCCAAGTCGGGGTCGCCAGCTCAGTAGGCGTATCATCACGGCACTCGCTGAGGAACACATCCTCGAAAGTCTTGGCCCACTGCACGCGGTTGTTGAGGCCCTCGAGCTCCCACAGCTCCTGCAGGAAATGCAGAATGGAGGTGTGCGTGTAGGCGGAGTTCTTAGCGTACATGGTGCCCTCGTCGTGGATGAGGTGGTTGGCCGGGACGAATGGGGAGATTAGGAATGCTGGGACGCTGGATGAGGAGATAGTTTGTTAGTAGCTGTTGATTATTTGGTTTTATCATGTTCTCCTACCGGACGCCGAGGCGGGTGAAGTCGTAGGTCACGTTGTGGCCTTCGGATTGGCCGCTGAATGTGATGCCGTCTTCGGGTGCGGGCACGTTCATCGGCGGGGGGACGTGGTCTATAAAACCATCGTCAGTTAATCAAACTCAATCAATTAACCACCATTTCATTAGCTTACCCGCAAACCCACCATGCTCATCAAAATTCACCTGCCGGAGGTTTTTTTTCAGTTATATATTGCAAGGTTGGGCTTTAGGGATAGCCTCACGATCAACAGGACGTTGTCCCAATACTGGGACTTGCGCAACGCATCGTATAAATGCTTGACCATCTGCTCACCGGCCGCCGTGGGACTAGTCGGGTGCATCGAGTCAATGGTGCAGCATTCCGGGTTGATATACGAGAACGTCGGCAGGGTGCCCTCCTCCAAGTCCTTGTAGAATTGGTCTGCGTGGACGAGTTTGTCCATTGCATTGTCTTGAACCCACTAGAGAAATTATTAGATCTGTTTAGCATCTTCCAAGAGGTTGAAACTGACCTTGTACATCCAAGCATCGATGATATCGGTCTCGTAGTACTAGACATGAGCATAAGTAAAGATAAATCAAAAGATTGTAAGATATGATTGACTCACGTTCTTCCAGCTAATGCCCTTGTTGCTAAGGGACTCAAAGATTGAAGTAGCGCAGGTCGTGCCGGTCACATTGTTAAAGTAACCCGCAGCCTGGTCGGTGTTATCAACAAAACCACAGGTCGAGCCGGAGGTAGCAAATTGGCGGTTTGTATTCGTGGGACCGGGGTGCTCGGCAAAGTACGTGTCAAAGAAGACAAAGTTCTGCGCAATCTCCGCCAGCAGGGCGGTCTTCTCTTGGTTGTAGGCCTTGATGACGAAGGAGGCATCGCCGGGCGTGGCGCTGTACTTCTCGGACTGGCGCTCGACAAAGCCGCCCATGTTGGGCACGTCATTGTTGTCTACATCCCACTTGCGGAAGATCTCATAGGTGACGCCGGCAAAGTTGTGGTCCGGGTCTAGCAGCGGCACTTCGGTTTCGAAGGGTGTGGAGCAGATCTGAAGCGGCTCACCCCATACCGTCCAGTTGGCATTGGTGTACTCGTTGCAGTGCGGCTTGTTGATGAGGTTGTCAATGTCATCGCGGAAGTTCCAGTAGCCGGCGATGTTGTCGAAGGAGTGGTTCTCCAGCGTGAGGTAGACGACGTGTTTGATCTATCAGGAGGTGCTCAATGGATTGTACGTGAATAGCGGCCTAGCAAGGGGGGACTCACGTTCTTGCGCAGTTCCCTCCATGTCTGAGTATGGCCGGTAGGGCGGGCCGAAGCGACTGCAACCAGGGCCGCGAGAGAGACCAAATTGATCTTCATGGTTGGCGGTACTCAATGGTATCAAAACTATCAGTTGAGGCGGAAGAAGGAAGGTGGATGGTGGAAGGGATGAGAGGAATTCTCAATGGGGCTTCTCTACGGCATTTCTACAGATCCTCTAGGTCGTATAGGTCGTATATATACACATGGGCACACGACACCCAGTCTTCTTGTCTGATCCTAATGCCCTTGGCACACCCACACCTCTTCGGAGATTGGCATGCCGAGCCAGTTTCGATGAGGTTAAGAATGGCGACAGGGAGGCCTCAGCGAATGGGAGGTATCGGTGGCACATTGCAGGAACGATTACATGTTCATTGTTCCTGAGGGAGGGGTACGGAGACTCTGATTACCCGATTGGGCAATCCAGTCGGGGGGAAGTGCGTTGGAGATAGTGAGGGTCGCAGTGCTAACGGGATGAGTTCAGCCAATCACCACACCGGTTATGACCAATGCTGGGCTCTGACTGGTTCCCCCCGCCACTTTAAACTATCCACCGAACCCACCGCACGGTCGAATCACAACCACGGACGGTCAACCGTGCCGCCAGGTACGATCAGCACGCCTATCTTCCTCGTTCCCTCATAGGCTGTGATCGGCTTCGCTCACTTGACACTGCAACGCTCCAAGCGAGCCATTCTTTTTCTTTGCATTTAAGGCTGGGTGTCAGCCAAGCTTTTTCCTCCCTTCCTTCGTCCCTCTTGACACCACATCCCTTCCTTATCGACCTACCTACAAATCAACAAACAAACAAATAACCGTCTCGATGACCTCCGCCCGAGGCCTGATGACGAGCTACTCGCCCATCTCGGAGCGAAACTCGTCCGACCTCGAAAAGGACCCTCACTTCTCTCTCCAGGATGTCGAGACCGGCAGCAAAAACAGCGCTGAGCGCAAGGGCTTCCGCTTCATTGATGCCCGTACCGTCTCCGACGCCATCATTGGTCTGTCCGACGGTATGACGGTGCCGTTCGCCCTGACCGCGGGTCTATCCGCCTTGGGCGACACGAAGGTCGTGGTCTTTGGCGGGATGGCCGAGCTCATTGCGGGCGCCATCTCCATGGGATTGGGCGGGTATCTCGGCGCCAAAAGCGAAGAGTGAGTTTGAGCGGGACCACCTGCTAATTCTCGAACAACTGCTAACGATTTCGCCAGGGAGTCATACAAAGCCACGCTCCAGGAAACACAGAACCAAACGGTCACCGATCCCGGCTCCGTGGCCACGACCATAAGCGACATCTTCGAGCCGTACGAGCTGCCGACTGAGCTAGTCGCCCAGCTCACCAACCACCTCTCCGCCTCGCCGATGCTCCCTTCATTCCTGATGAACTTTCACCACACGCTCCCTGAACCCTCCGGCTCGCGCGCCGTCATGTGTGCCCTGACCATCGCCCTGGGCTATTTCATTGGCGGTTTCGTGCCCTTGCTTCCGTACTTCTTTGTTGGCCCCAACGAGGCGTTCATCGCCCTGCGCTGGTCCATCGCGACGATGGTCGTTGCGCTATTTATATTCGGGTACGGCAAGACCTGCTTCGTGACCGGTTGGTCTGGGCGGAGGAATCTCCGCAAAGGTCTGGTGGGTGGACTCCAAATGGTGCTGGTGGGTGGTGTGGCGGCGGGCTCGGCCATGGGGCTGGTGAAGGGGTTCCAGCTGCTGGCAAATGGTGGGGATCATCCCAAGCATGATTGATGGATGGATGGATTGAAGAAACTCTTGCATTATCATTCTTTTGGCGTTTTTCTCTCTCTGGTGACGATGCATTTCAGCGGGCGTTCTTTTCTACGTGGTTCTTTCCCCTAAAGACATGCGGGGTGTCTCCAAAAGTATTCCATCTCAACACAGGTTTGTTCGAGATCTGTGCCATACCTATCCGTGTGAAATCAATTCGACACCATTTAGGCAACTCCTCGTTGATGAGCTATGACAAGTGCCGATAAACATTGCGATCGTGCCATAAACCATTATTATCAGGCAATCTCGACCACGTCGATTCGTTTTCATCTATATATAGCACACGCTCGCGCAATAATTCTTACTCCGTCAACGCGGAGTTGCATAACCTGCGTCATGGACGCAGGATGGAGCATGAACTCACCACGCAGTCAGCCTCGTTATCCCCGACTGCTGCCTATCTCAAAGCATCGATACCAATCTGGCATCCACCCTCTCCCCCTCCTTGATCGACTGGCGCGGGCCAAGGCCAAGCCACAGTGAGATGGGGGCTGAGCCAGGCAGGGAGAGCTAGAATTGCAAATCCACCAAACCAACAGCAGGCTGCCAAGTGGAAGGCTGTTGATGTCATGCTTCCAGGGGGGAAAGTATCGTTGCATCTCCACGGGCTGCTTCGTGTTGATGGATAGCTAGAGTAGTTGATAGTCAACGGAGCTGTAACTAGCTCTTCAACTCCTCCAGCTAACTTACGACTGAGCCACTCACGGCACCTCTGTAAAACAAGGCAGCAGCCTTGTACCAACCATCCTTTAAGGGGCAAGGGCAACGAATACGAGGGGCTGGTAGATACATACGCGTATTCCATACGAGGACATGAGCTAGCTGCCTAGTGAAGTCAAGTTGGTTCAGCCAAGTGAGCTGTTAGTTGGTCAGGAGTTGATTAGTTGGCTCCGTCTGACCATTCCCATTATTATTGGCCACCGTGGTTTGCACGCCCAACTCTGAAACTGGAGGCGCCGAGCTGACCCATTTCCAGTCCCTAACTATCCCTTAACTTACATAGTGTAATGATTATTAGTTAAAGGGGGAGCGGTAATCTATTATCCGGCTTGTTGGGAACCGGCGCGTATTTAGTGTGGTCCTGGACGGGCTCTAATTCACTAGCCGGCATAGTCGGTGCACATCCTCATCTGCCCGGCGCTAACTAATTATAACCGTGCGGGTTTTTGAGGGGAGCAGATTTTTTGTCTGCTATACTTTTTGACTAGGCCGAGTTTAACAGGTGGTCGAGTGAGCACTCCAGCATGGCAGTAGGGAAGGTGGTCACCCCCGACCGAGGCAACTCGGTCAAAACACAGCCGCTGGCAGTGCTTCAGCCCAACCAGGCTGAGTCGAGGCTGACCTGACCTCACATACTCCCAGACCGCCTAGCACAGATCAGGCGTTGGTGACGGTGGTTTGTCCATCATGGCTGCAGAGTGTACTGTATTATGGTAAGCTATAAGCGAAATTGGATTTGGGCAGACTATTCTCGTTGGATAACGCGCTGAAGGATGGGCCCATACTGGGGCGCACATGGACCAATCGGCGCGGGCCTGCCATCTGATAATTGAAAAATTAGCCTCGTATTATTACCAGTCACGTGCAACCAGGCACTCGGGGGGTGGCGGATGGCGGGAGGATCTCAGAGGAGTGGTTCTGGGTTCTCTCGGTAGACAAAGGTATTTGGGACTGGGTAGTCAAGGCACAAATTATCATCTTAGCACGGTCAGACCAGAAGGAGTGGGTAATGCCAATGATTATGCGGACTTGTGCTTCCTCGGCCTCCGTCCTCTCCGTTCCGCCGCATCCGCCGGCATCGTGATCGCCGTGGTCTCGTGGGCCGGATGACCCGATCGTCAGATTGGAATTGGCGACACGGAGGATGCAGACCAGAATCAATAGCAGTGTCGACGGGAATATGGACTGTGATGAGTAGTTATTGTCTCAAGTTAGTTCCTCCTGCGGCCGTATAATCCCATCCAGACCATCCTCAAACCGACTAATGACGCCATGGACTCAAGGAAAGCGCGACCAGGACCCGTATTACGGGCCCGTAATACGGTGACCAGCCTCGATACCAGCCCCCGAAATCCTCTCTCTCTCGACTCTGCTTTTCTTCCCCTTCCTTCCTCACCTTGTCAGAGTCATCTTTCTTCTCTTCTCTCTCCCTCATCCTCTTCCTCTCCTTTTCTCGCCCGCGCTCCTCCCCCTTCTGGCTAGGGCTTGGTCGACTCTCGCCCTTGCTGCTCCCGCCTTGCGTGTGTCTGCCGTCCACCCTACCCAACGTGACCTCCTTGAATTCCTCGGCTGCAGGAAAGAGGGCCTGGCGCTTCCCGGTCTTTGACATCTTTCGGCTTGGATTGGATTCTTATCCCAGCTTGATGATATTATCGCCCCTTCGGCCTCGTTAAGCGCCCCCCTCCTCCTCGCCCTCCCTGCCGACCAGTGCGAATTCCTTCCCGGGGAATTCCACGCCCTCCCCCTCGCCCTCCATCCCCATCCGAGTGAGTGGAACGCTCGCTCAGAGGGGATCTTGCCGCGATGATGAACGCCTCCCTTCCGTCATGGAAGGATCGCACGCAGAACCAGTTCGGGAAGCTCCAGATCCAGATGCCATGGCGTTCCTTTCAACTCCTGGTGCCCCATCGCATGCGTCGCAAGATTCGATCAAAGCTGCGGAGCAGGATAGCGCCCACCTCGTCGATATCCACGCTGCAGACTTCCTTTTCACCCGCAGACACGCTCCGGTCATTACAAGGCCACCGGTGGACGCTGTATGACTTTCAGTATCTGCTACTTCTCATTGTCGGCATCTTTTCGTTGACGGTTATCGAATCGGCCGGCCCCCTGGCGAAGACCGGCATCTTCACTCTCCTCATCTGCTCGTTGCTTCTGCCCATCACCCGGCAGTTCTTTCTCCCCTTTCTGCCCATTGCGGGGTGGTTGATCTTCTTCTATGCATGCCAGTAAGTCTTCTGGTTTTTAAACCCCTCTCTGCGTTCGACTCGCTGACATTTGTTTCTCAAGATTCGTCCCGAGCGATTGGCGGCCCGGCATCTGGGTGCGGGTTTTGCCTGCCATGGAAAACATTCTCTACGGCGCCAACATCAGCAACATCCTGTCCGCCCACAAGAGTGTCGTCCTGGACGTGCTGGCATGGATCACCTACGGACTATGTCATTACGGCGCCCCCTTTGTTGTCTCGTTGCTCCTGTTTATCTTCGGGCCACCGGGCACCACGCCGCTCTTCGCACGGACACTAGGCTACATCAGCATGACCGCCGTCACCATCCAACTGGTGTTCCCCTGCTCGCCTCCGTGGTACGAGAACCTGTACGGGCTTGCGCCGGCAGACTACTCGATGCAGGGTAACCCAGCCGGTCTTGCTCGCATCGATGCGTTGCTTGGCATTGATCTGTACACCTCTGGGTTCAAGCAGTCCCCCGTGGTGTTTGGGGCCTTCCCCTCTCTCCACGCGGCCGACTCGACTTTGGCCGCCTTGTTCATGAGCCACGTTTTCCCGCGGTTGAAGCCTCTTTTCGTCACCTACACTCTGTGGATGTGGTGGGCTACGATGTATCTGTCGCACCACTACGCCGTTGATCTGGTCTGCGGTGGCTTGCTCGCTACAGTGGCATTCTACTTTGCCAAGACCCGATTCCTGCCGCGAGTCCAGAGTGACAAGATGTTCCGCTGGGACTATGACTACGTTGAAGTCGGCGAAAACTCGCGCGATTTCGGCTACGATCTCGCCAGCCTGGATGGCGAATTCAACCTGGACAGCGATGAGTGGACCGTGGGCTCTTCGTCATCGGTCTCCTCTGGCTCTTTGAGTCCGGTGGACGACCACTACACTTGGGAGAGCGAGACTCTAACCTCGAACCACGACCTCGAGTCCGGACGCTAGCCGTCAACCTCGACATACATATACTCCCGTTGGACCTTGTGTCCATTGTTGCATCTACCTCTTTGACACGGCGTTTTTATACTTGACGACATACTGGGGATCTCTGATCTGCATCGAGCTATCTTCGACACCTTAAGGTTTTTAATCCACCTTTTGGACAGCTTCGGTCTCGCACGGCTTTGTTTTTTTCGAGCCGAAGTCCCTTTTTACATTCTGGCTGTACATGCCTCTTTATTTCTTCGCCAGCCTGCCGTGAGCTGGCGACTCCGTCTATAATCATAATTCCGGTGGCAACCTGGAATTGGGGGCCAACTCTGTTCGCGACCTCCCATCCTCCGCACCGCCACCGACGGGAAACCTTCGCTTGTACACATTATTCACCCTTCTTCGATTCTGACCCATGTCTTTCGCTACGACTTTACTGACTGGACGAGCCCCTTTTTTATTTCTTTCTGCTCGTCCAGATGCACAAACTTATTATTATCATTCGTGTCGATCGCTCAACATTGGCGCCTGGGAACTGGGAATTCAAAAAACAAAAGTTTCGGCGCCACTGGCTTTTTTGCACTACACTCGCTGTGCATTCATTACAAGGAACAAATTCTTGGAACTTTCGCTTTTACAACATTTTTGCATCGGCACATAGAGAGGGGAAAAGACCGTCGATCCGGTCTGATTTTGGGGCGCTGGCAGGTGATAATCGGCGCGGCAAACTGGTTGCAGATCATCCTTGGGTAGGAGGGTTGCATCCTGAACTTGAGAGGGGAAAACAAAGATTGGTGGACAACAAGACAAGACACGCTGCTGGCTGGGTCATGCAATACTTTTGTTGTGAACGGCATACCAGTGCAGCACAAGCGGCCAAGTTCGATGGTTTCCGAGGGCAGCACCAGTGCTGGACGGAGGCATTGGGTTTTCCCGGATCCTGGAGGACTGGCTTACTCGCTGATCTCTCTCCGCTTCTGGCTTTTGGGAATCAAAGCCCGGACGACGCCTTTCCTGGATAATTAATGCGTGCACATGCTTCTTTCCTCTTCCAACACTATATTCTCTCACCTATATTTACCCTCCGCTCCGACGAGGGGCTGTGCATGCAAGGCAAACCCGGAACTGAACTTATCATTTCGTTGCGGTAAGCCGGGAATTGGCTGTATTGTTAGTTAGCATTTGTTTCTTCATCCCCCCACCGCCGGCGCTACGAGTTTTGATGATGAAGACCCATCATTATTGTACATTAATGTCTGGTTCTTCCGCCAATATCATATCACTACAACAGCTATTATTCACTTCCCCAGTGTAGTTCTTGCTTTCATCATTCAGTAAGATCGAAGACATGCCTGCAGGATGGATCTTCTCTTCACCCCGCTCGAGCTGATCAGTCGATCAGCATTCCTAGCGCGCCCGCTGGCTGCTGCAGCTTCGTCGATCCTCCCCCGCGATAGGTATATACGCTAAGCTTAGGCAGCTATGAACAAGCCAGTCATGCATAATGCTGTAATGAGTGCACTGTCCGTCGCCAGCCGAGTCCGAGTGGCTGTGCGTGTGCATGTGCCAACCTGCCTCCCAGGTAATTATTCATCTGCTTATGCTCATGTGCTGGCCTGGCTGGCAGCTTCGCCCGAATTGGGCGTTCCCTGCTGTGTTCGGCTCTTTTGTTTAGTTCGTATTGTATTGTTGCTTGTAAGTTTCGCCTAAGATAACTCGTTGTATTTGCGAATTGATTCACTATTACTGGTTCTGTTGGTATACGAGGAGAAGAAACGGTGCCCATTGCACCGCCGCTCTGCCGCTCCCCAGGGCTACGATCAAGAAACATTTCGACCTTGCTCAAATACTACGGATGATCTAGCATAATTCGATCTTTTAGCTAGAGAAGTTCCTTTACGATAGAAGAATGAGTTCTCAGAAAGAGCTAGTTTTGAGGCATATAATAGCGGACAGACCTCAAGAAACGCCTCTCACGAAGCAAAACTCAGTTTCTGCCTACGCCCAATATTAACTACTACGAGATACTTTAGCGAATTGGTAATGATTCATTATATACGACGAAATCTAGGGAAGAAAATCCAAGGTGAGCCCTGGTAGCATAAGAGGCACCTAAACGAGGTCAAGTTATTGAAACCTGATATAGGAAGATATCGTGCTACTCCCCCATTCTGCAGCATCGATCATACGGATGAGAGGGGCCGAAACGCCTTGTTCAGGGCTGTACAGACGGGCGATGTGAGCGGTATGCGGCAGCTTCTGAAGAGAGGGGCCAATCTGCGGGTAGTTTGCTGCCGTGAGACGCCGTTGTCCGCGGCAGCGAAGGAGAAGCATTTTCATGCCGTGAATATGATTCTGCAGGTATTTGATGAGCGAGGATTGGATTTGGATGAAGTCGAAGGGATGTTGAAACAAGCGGAGGAGTATGCTGTGGAGGCTAGTCGGGCAGATATAGTTAGGTTGCTGCGTCGATTTTATTGCCTTCGCTGGTATCCAGTGTGTACTTGGCATTCTCCGGTGTCCAATCTAACAGTGACAAAATCGCGGACTAATTATACAAGATATTCTTATTAGAATATGATGAGCCAGGCGAGAAGGCTGTAGTTATGTAGATAACTGCTAATACTTTTGATATAACGAACAATAATGGAAACCCGTTGTATCGAGGGCTTATGGGCACAATCATAAACGAGTCTAAGCAAATAACGGGGATCACTGCCTAGGGGAGATTGGCGCTGGAAATCAAACCAATAACAGAGGGGTAGCGTACCGGTAACTAAGATCTCTAGGTGACCGACCGAGGCTTACCTTATCCTAGCTCTGAACGATTCCGCATTCGCACCCCTAGCCCCGAACGGTTACACTCCAACCCCAGGCCGTGCCAGTTCGCACTTCGACCTATAAGCTCCGACACCCATTAGCAACACGTGGAAGTCGGACACCCACGAGTACCTAGACACCTTTACTATTCTGCCCCGAACTGCATATTCATCTTCATTACAATATTGCTTTCGTCAAACACTCCGACTTGCGCATCAACATCGATCGCCATACCCTGCCGATGAACAGCGATTCACGAGGGCAATCGCAAAAATGGCGGGCGCCCGCAATGAGCCTTCCAGCACAGCACAAAGTACCGCACGATCGGCAGTGCCAGGATGCAGAGTCTGTAACCGACGCCGGATCAAATGCGACGGAGCTCGGCCGGCTTGTAATAAATGCACCTCCCGCGGCCTGCAATGTCCAGGATACAACAAGATCCTCAAGTGGATATACGGACCAGCCAGCAAAGGACCAAACCGCCTGGCCTTTGGCCCGACGGCGGACAAGGCTAGTGGCAACCCAGTCCATCACCACCAAGCTGCCGACGGTGTCATCGTGTCGCCGCTCGTGACTCCGTCCCCAGCGGTGCCGCTGGTGCCATATAGATACACGCAGTTATCTGGTTTATTGTCGACACCGATACTCGGCACGGAAAGCCTCCTACTGCGACACTTTGTGGATGTCGTGTCAGTGCAATTAGCGTGGTTCGAGGACGGATCTAATCCGTGGCGAGTTTTAGTACTGCCGCTGGCCCTGGACTCGCCTGGGACATCTCCATCATCATCGCACTGCCTGCTAGCAGCCATCTTAGGCGTGTCCGCAAGCAATGTCGCTTCCCGCCTTGCTGAGGGCGACACTCAGCGCGACGCATATCTGGGCATCATGAACTCGTTACGCAACCGAGCCTTCCGCTTCCTCGCCGAGAATTTGCGGACTCTGCGGGGCGCACTCGAACAGGGCACGCTGCCTCCTCCACAGCCGCTGACACAGACGGTTATTGCCAGCGTGCTGCTCCTTTCCTACTTGGAGGTGCACTGGCCATCCAACGGCATGTGGCGTATCCATCTACGGACGGCACAGAGCATCAGCGACATGCTGGAATTGGCCACGACCGGCGACGCCATAAGTGCCTTTCTCTCTGAAGAGTTGTTCACTGCCAGTACATGGCCTCTACTGACCCACTACCCATCGGAGGAGATGTCTTCGCCTCAGGAAGTATCTATCGGGAGCCTAGCTAGACAGGAAATCAGGGGTCGTTCTCCCTTCACAGCTTTTGTTGCCATCGTGCGCCGTGTGACCCGTGCCGCACGGGATGCATCACTGCAAGATGGAGACCCGGTCGAACGGCGAGCAGCTCTTCGCACAATTCTAGACCAAGTACAGCTAGATATGGAGCAAGCCCTCAAGACCGCCTTGGGGGCGCTTCGAACAATGGAGCCACGGACGGGGCGCAACATCAGCGGCCACGATGTTGAGCGTTTCATCGCCGCCTACTATTACGCCACTCAGATATACTGTCACCGAGCCCTATTCGCCGCTGCGCCCGAATCGCCGCAAGAGTCGTCCGCCTGGGCGGATCAAGTGACGTTGCTCGGCCTGCGCACGCAGCTTGTCGACTCGCTGCAGGCTCTTGACAATCCTGACTCGCTGGCGCAGTCGCAGCCGTGGCCTCTTTTCGTGCTGGCCACGGAGAGCGCCCACGAACCGGTGACGCAATGCTGGATCGAGGCGCGGATGGCGTCGATCATGACACTGTACTGTGAGATTGACCGGCCGCAGATGCTCAATTTTCTAAGGTCCTTCTGGGCTCAAGTTGTTTATGACAATTGGATCGATTATGCCCGATTATGGACAAAGGATCGGTACGAATTCCTTATATTATAATTTATGGTATATGGTGATGGAAGAGCACGAGCATATAAGTGATAAACGAAGCCCGCTGGTATCATAGTTGATTGAACTTGGCTTTGATACATTTCTTCGCCTTTTAGTCTACACGGTTTTAACACGTCAGAGGTGGACAGTCTCCTCGTCGTTGATGCCGAAGATGATGGATATGGGATCCTTATACTTGTAGAACCCTAGCGCTGGCTGGCTGATACCATAATTGAGCAGGCGCAGGACTTGTGGTGAGAACTTCTTCTCCTTGGCCAACTCGACGGGAATCTCCAGCTGGTGGTTTTCCTCCGGCTTGAGATATCCCTTGCACATGAACAGGCCGATGACCTCGCGAACCTCGTCCCTACCGAGGGGTCTCAGTATGAGTTTCTGTTTCGAAAGAATAGCATGGCAAACGGTGTCCTACTTACTTGGTCTTGTTGGCACCACCGCCGTGGTAGGTGTTGCCAGGGAAGATGAGGGCATCGCCAATCTCGAGCTCAACCGGCACCGCCTCCTCAGTGCGGGGGCGCGGTCCAGGCTCCAGATGTTGGACTTGGGAATTACCATGGTGGCGCCATTCTCGTAGGTGCACTTGGTGATGGCGACAAGCAGGCCCATCATGCACGAGTCGAGGCCGCTGGGCAGGTGGTAGTCGCTGTCGTCGCGGTGCAGGTCCTGGGCACGCGAGCCAGGGTGGATCTGGAAACCAAAGGTGCCAGAAATGGTAGGCTTCGTGACAAAGGTGCGACGCTGCTCACCGTACCAGGGCGAGCATGTGGAGGTTAGGATCTCGTTGCAGGTGTCCACCCACAACTTGTTGGTCGCAAGTTCGACGCAGCCCTCAGACGCCGCCAGCAGGCCTGTGGCCCGGCGCGTGGTGGTGGGGAAGAAGCCGGAGGCATCGGGCACGTCGGCAGCAAAGACTGGGGCCAGCTCGGCCTTGATACAAGCCGCGTGCTCGGCGGAGATGAGGTTCTTGATAATCACGCCGCCATCCGAGCGCACCAGCTCGACCACGCGCTCGTACGTAGTTGCCGGGTCGTTAGAGTCGAGGCGTTGCAGTGAAGGAGAGGCCTTGGGGACTGCCATATTAGAGCTCGCGGCGGCGGTGGTGGTGGTGGAAGCAGTAGTAGTGGCCATGTTCCCTGTTGGATGTGAACCAGGAACCGAGTCTGTGATTCGTGCGAGAAGGGGATGCTATATAGTAAGTAAATGACTTCCAAGCTTTCCAATGCCCGATCGAAGGAGAGTAAAGACTGAAACCTGAGTCAGATGGAGAAGCTGTAGACTGAAGGGCTGCCTTAAAAGTTTATGTCCTCTGTCCTGCTCGACCATGATAACCTCTCTTGACGCAAGCAGAGTGTATACTACTAAACTGTCTCGGCGATGCTTCATCAATGATCATGAGGGGTTCTCCCTCTTCCCCCACGATTTAGGTCTAGCGTTAATCTATCGACTCCCAGCGTCTCCTTGTGACAAGATCTAGCGCGAGAAGGCCCAGTATTTTCTCGGCTCGAGTTGACAGTTCTCCGTCTTCCCCTACGATTTCGGCCTAGCGTGGACTCGTCGGCTTCTAGCGTCTCCTTCTGATAGGATCTAGGGCGAGGTAGCTTGGATCTTGAATCTTCCGACTGGACGGAGTAGTCGCCATAACTACTTAAAAGTACCAACCCCACTGTTTCTCCCGAAATCCCCCCAAAGTAGCCTAGCGCTGGCCTGCGCTAGCGTGGTAATCACCACGCTTGATTGGCTGCTATCTACCTCAATGATCCAAGCGCATCGATAAACCGAGCCGTATGGTCCTTCCCCCGACTTATTAGAGATACGAAACGAGCAGTTTTCTTTATCAAGCGGGCGTAGCAGTTTCTGTACGCGGAGATAGTGGATCTCGATTCTCGACTTTATCTTCTCCTCGCCCCGTGAGCCCAAGTATATGAAGTCGGACCTCTGAACGCCAGTTTAGTTGCTATGGATTGGAGGCTGCGGATTTCTATCTTTTGTCCTGACTCTAAAGCACGTACCTTAGAGAAGAATATCATTTCAGGACCTATCCCTCCCAGCGGTATCGTGTTGACATCTCGCGATTGCCCGCATCTGCTGTGTGCCGCAATATAACGACAAGGGCAGCTCAACATGGCCACAGAAGTTGAGATGGTGCCTGGCACCGTCATCCTTGAGGACCGTAAGTCCCTAAACCCAATAGTCTCTCTTCTACTCCCAGCAATGATGCTAGATTGACTCGGGGAATGCTTGAAATAGTCCAAGGAGCCTCCCCTCGCCTTGTCCTGCAGCCTACACCCACGGCTGACCCGAATGATCCGTTGGTACGACTGCCGCACCCGCCGGGATAGAGGCAGAGATAGATGTAGATGCAGTACAGTAGCTGACTCCACATGACTGAACAGAATTGGTCTAGGATCCGCAAGACCGTCAACTTCACCCTGGCATGCTTCTATGCCCTGATGACATTTGTCCTCCTTGACATTGGTCCGGTTGTCTGGGTCAACCTGAACGAGGAGCTCGGGATCTCTTATAAGGATCTCAACAACTCGTGGGCGATTGACTGCGCTGGTCTCGCCCTCGGCTGCATCTTCTTGTATCCGCTGGCTGTCAAGTTTGGGCGTCGACCCGTCTACATTCTCAGCTTGATCGTGCAGCTGGCTGGAGCGATCTGGTTTGCCCACATGAAGTCCAACTGGGAGAATATGGTCATCAACTTTATCATCGGATTGGCCGGTGCCATCAGCGAGACGATCGTACAGATGACCATTGCCGATCTTTTCTTCACACACCAGCGCGCATCTGCCAATGCCATGTACTTCTTTGTGGTCACCATCGGGACTTTCCTCGCGCCCGTTGCGGCCGGCTACAGTGCTGCCTCGCAAGGCTGGCGGTGGATCTGGTGGTGGTGCGTGATCCTGCTTGCCGTCAATCTGGCCGCCGTCGTCTTCTTCTTTGAGGAGACCAAGTATATCCCCGTGCTGCCTGGATCTCCAGCCAGCTCTCCCAGCAGTGATATCGGCGTGTCTGCCGCCGAGGAAGGCAAGAAGACGCTAGTGAGCGATGAGTGCACCATTGATCTGCATCGCCACAACAGCATCATTGCCGACATCCCTAAGAAGAGCTACATCCAGCGCCTCGCACTCACCACCAAGTCCAAAGGCCCCGTGTTCCGTTACAGCTATCAGCCCTTCATTGTGCTCACCACGTTTCCCGCTGCCGCATTCACCGCACTTATGTACGGCGCCAACCTGGCATGGTACTCGGTATGCGGCACCACTGCGGCCACTTACCTTCTCTATGACCCCTACGACTTTGGCTCTATCGGCGTCGGTCTCTTTTCCCTGGCTCCGTTCAGCGGTTCTCTGCTGGCAGCCCTCTACAGTGGCCCGCTCGCCGACTTCTACATCGTCTGGGCCTCCAAGCGTAACGGTGGTGTGTTTGAGCCCGAGATGCGTCTGCACCTAGCTTTGCTGGCTGTGCTATTGACCCCACTCGGTCTGCTCCTCTACGGTCTGCCGCTTGCTAATGTATTTCGCCGCCGCTTTTACCCTCTTGTGTATGCTTTTACACCGACGTTGGACCATGCTGATCAATGCTCCCTTGCTAGGGCTTACCGTGGATTGTTCCTGCTGTCGGCTATGGTGTCTATGGTTTCGCTTTCAGCTTGATCTGCGACCTGAGCCTCACCTACCTCCTCGACTGCTACCAAGATGTGAGTCTTGCTTCTGGAAACAGATGGCGGCCACCAGAAATGAGTCACATTTTACTGACGCGATGCCTTTTGTAGGTCGTCGGCGATGCTCTGGTCGGTGTCGCGTTTGTGCGCAACGCGGCTGCCACCGTCGTTGTCTTTGCCCAAACACCTTGGATCGCCGCCCAAGGCTTACACAACTTCTTTGTCACCCTTACCTGCTTGGCCATTGCCCTGGTTCTGCCCATCATCCCTATGATCTGGTTCGGTAAGGCTGCACGCCAGGCAACAGCAGGGCGGTACAAGAAGTTCGCGATGCTCCAGCCGATCAGCCGGGCATTTCAATAAAGAGCAACTGCGAGTGGTCAGTCAGTGAGCGGGTCATTATGATTATGCCATCCTCTGTGAGCAGATCAGGGCGCGCGGTCTACTCAGGGAGCAGGCAGTGAGTATTAAAACGGAAAGAGCAAGTCCCAGGGCGCCAGACATTATCTGACTATACGTAACATCTTATTAGGTTGCCTACATATAGTATACAGCAAATCCAAATTCTGGCACCTTCCAAACAATCCTTTGCCTGGGTTTTCCACTCTTGTTAGATGTCACATAATTAGCCCGTTGATAAAGAACTTTTGCTTCCAGGAAAATCGGATCTAAGAGGCCCGTTTACCATATGGTTCAAATGGAAACAGGAATGCACAAATAGCAAGACCGCCATACGATGCACCACATATGAAAATGGGTCCTGTAGTTGCTGTGCTTGCAAACGGTTGCAATAACAGCACTAATTCACACACCTACACATCTCTCATGTATTTCAGTCATCCCCTCCTCACAGGTAACTGATAAAGGCAATATTGAAGTAACCCTGGGTGTGTTCAGAGATATCTACAACAGCGTAGGTAATCGCCTTTATAGCCCCCTATATCGCCTCCTACGTAGCCTAACTCTCGCCTAGCCTCTAGTAACCTATGCAGTAGAACGGCGTCTAAAAGTACCACGTTTGCTAATGCTTACGGATGCTCTCTCAGCCTGGCGCTAATTCTGCCGGGTAACAGATGAGAAAAATGAGCATTGATTTGTAGCTCTACATAAATCTGGGTATAATGACCCAAGCACACTAGCTCAATGCAGTCCCATATCCCGCTACCTACCCAGCTGAACCCTCGTTTACCAGTCCCAATCCTCGATATTTTTAAACCAGCCGGGTCGCCGGACAGCGGGGACCTTGGCCAGGTGATACTGTGCCCAGATAACCGGGTCCCAGCGCGGCGGGGTGGTATGTAGCTCAGGCTCCCGGAAACCTGCAAAGCGGCTATAGGTAGTCAGTCTTCATGCTCACTATTTGTCTTAGAAATGACATACATCGACTTGGTTGCGTCGTTGTAGATGATCATTTCGGGAAGCGGATAACTGTGGGTCCACAGGGTGCTAGAAAGACGCCTGTTTGAAGTTAACTCATGCTCAGAAAGGATTAATTTTAGAAAACTTACAACCACGTAAGGCGGAAGCACTCCCGGAATTCATCGCGTTCGGGGCGAGTCCAGCTCCAAAACTTCTCCTCGGTGAGAGGCTCTCCCGGGACCCGAAGCCAGAGCAGATTGGCGTAAAAGCCCCCGGGAACAAGTGGCGAATCTTCAGGCTGAGCTCCTCTATCAATGAACTTCATACGCGCAACTACGTCGCATTATTTCAAAGCTTCCATCGCCTTTAGCTCTCCGAAGTCTGGAAGCTTGACGGCCTGCTGGCTCTTTTGGGCGGCGGGGTGGAAATGGGTGCCCTTCCACGGGATCTGACGGTAGACACGTATGAAACCCTCCGTGCCCTCGTCCGCGTGGTGAACTGAAAACTTGGCCGTGGCATAGCAAGGCCCATAATCCCGGATTTCATGCTCAGGGCGAATCTCGGCATCTCCTCCCAGGAACTTGTCTAGGACCCATCGGGCTTCTGGCCATGCGGAGAAGCTGATGGTCGATCCCTCCATCCAGGCGAGGTATTTCTCGGGCGGACCTGCCATGATGTAGAGTTGTAGCTGTGGTTGACGTGGTTGTTGTTGTGGTTGTTGTTGTGGTTGTTGTTGTGGTTGTTGTTGTGGTTGTTGTTGTGGTTGTTGTTGTGGTTGTTGTTGTGGTTGTTGTTGTGGTTGTTGTTGTGGTTGTTGTTGTGGTTGTTGTTGTGGTTGTTGTTGTGGTTGTTGTTGTGGTTGTTGTTGTGGTTGTTGTCGTGGGTGATGTGGTGGTAATGGTGACGGCCACGGCCAATATCAACTTCACGACCGAGTCCAGCGACAAGGAATCCGGCACTACGACTGGCACGATCTGTCTGATCGTACGAATCCAAATCAGAGACTTGGAACAAACTAATTCTAGCGGTGAAGGTTGGATATACTGCATTTGGTATGCAGCAAAAAAAAGATAATAAATGCTTTGGGGTACTTGGTTCCTTCAAGCATCGGCAGCTACTTTAGTTATCTGGGATTGAGTTCCTTTAGAAGAAGGCCAGTCAATAATAATCATAAGTCATAATAGCTCGAAGGTACGTATCCATTATCCGGTTATATGTACATCACACCCAGACCAAGTGAATATACAAGACCCAACCCAAAAACGGGCTCTAGCACGCTGATTGATGATGGAAACACGGCTGGAAACCTCATACCACCAATAAAGAAACCCCCAGAAAAAACTCCCCTCTAGTTCGTTAAGAAGAAGAAAAAACAGATTCTATTCCTCGTCAAAGATCTGTACACGCTCCGCGTACTCACGGATATTCGAAACAAAGGTCTCCTCGATCAGATCGCCTTTGCCGCCTGCGACGCGGAGGATGAGATCGTTGAGGGAGGAACGGCCGAGGATATCGACATGATCGCCCGTATTGGGCCCGCCGCGCGGCGAGAAGCGGTCTGGCTCGTGTGGCATCTCAAAGACCTTGATCTTGGACCCGCCGGGATTGTAGCGCTTGATGTGCCAGCCCTTGGCGCACATATACCCCGTGCTCAGGAGATTGACGGTGCCGTCGCCCTCGCCCATGTGGACGCCGCGGTCGACGCCGTCGTTGTTGGAGACCGTGGTGTCGATGCTGACGTTGAGGTTGACGAGCGGGTCGCGCTCTTCTTGGTAGAAGTAGCTGCGCTCCGTGGGCTTGCCCACGCCGTAGAAACAGTAGATCTTCATGTCTGGCGCGTGCGGCAGACGCGCCTCGAGTGGGTTGAGCCATTTGCGCGGGTCCTTCTCGTTGGCCTCGACTTCGCGGGCTGTGTGTGCTACACCGTGCGAGTAGCTCGTCAGCACTTGGTTGCGGTACCAGTCCTCGCTCTGGTCGAGCATGTACTGCAGGCTCTCGGAGGTGGTGAGGTTGCGCAGCGTCCATGAGGAGTTGGTTTCGCGAAAGTTCAACAGGTTGCCGTACGACATTGCCTGGCCCGGCTGGTCGTCTGGTGCCCAGGTGGCATTGCCCCAGACGGCATCGCCGCCCTTGGGCAGCATACTAGAGATGCCCGGCATCGCGCGGAAGATCTCCGCGCGCTCCTCCTTGGACAAGAACTTCTCTAGCCCGTATACGGCGAACGCGTTCAGCTGTGCGGTATCACGCATCTCCCCGGACAGTACGGCTGTCAGTCCCTTCACGGCGCCGAGCATGCAGCCGCTGATGTTGACCCACGAGTCGATGTGCTTATTGACCCAGTCCTTGCCGCCGTTTCCATGCTCTTCGCTTTCCACCCATTTGAAGAAATAGAGCACTACCTGGGAGCCCATACTATGCGAGGCCAGTGTGATCTTCTCGCCCTGCACCTGTACTGCCGTCTCAATATAGGACTTGAGCCGGCTGAAATACTGGTCCCGGACCTCCAGATTCCCATACGATAGACGCCAGTCGTACGCAGCCGTAAACGCATTCGTCGGGTCATAGCCAATAGTCGCCAAGTTCTCCAATATTTTATTCCAAATCCAGTATCCCGTGATAAAGAAGTCGGTCGCGTCGAACCCTTGCGCCGCGCGCAGCTTGATGCCCGGCGGATCCAGCCCAGTCTCGCGGTCGAGCATGACATGATTCTTCCACTCTGCCTTGTCCATCACCAACGCGCGCATCATGCTCCAGCTGCCCCATAGTCGCCGACGGAAGTATTGGCGCGAAGTAGGTCCCGTGCCCCAGCTTTCTAGCCCTGTGGAGATAACACCGGGGATCATGACGACCGGGTGTTTGGCTTGGACGCCCTGGGCTTGGAGCTGGAGGCCGACGGCGAAGGAGTCATAGCTAACGGCGTCGCGTTCATGTTGCTGTGCGAGTCGTTGTTGTTAGCATAGCACCAGCGTATACCTAACTACCCCTCGAACATACCGAGAACTCCTTTGCATCGCGCACAATCCCCTGGGGTATCACATCGATCAAGGACTCGATATTCAAATCCATGAGCGAATCCAGACTAATGACCTCCTGCTGATTGGCGAAGAACAACGCGACAAAGATGCCGAACAAGCCGCCCAGCGCGAAGATCAGGCCATTGCGACGTTTGCTCCGCTTGCCCCGGGGCTGGATGACTAGCTGCTTGACCTTGGCACCGCCAAATTCTTCGCGTAGGAGGTCCTCATTAGTCTTCGCGCGCCAGATCGACGGTCTGGATGACGAGTCGTCGGGGGCATCCTTAGTGCGACGGCGCAGCATCGCAACAGAAGCGGCCGGCGGACGAGGGAGAGAAGGATGGAGGAGAGAGGGAGGTATCAGGCGAAAAAAGGAGTCGAGGGGAGACCAATGATATAATTGAGAAAGGGGAGAAGAAAGAAAACAAGGCAATCATGCAAGGCCGTTGAACGGGATCGGCATCACATGAACCGATGCACCCCTCCAACCATCTTTCATCATTTTCCCACTATACTCTCTCTCTCTCCCTCCCTAGTTCATCCCCTCGATTCCTCCCACATGAGCCGGCAATGAACAAGGATGCCTCCGATGCCCTCCGCTACGTGCGGTACGACAGCGCGCGCGAGAACGAGTACGTCGCCGCCATGCGCCAGCTGATCTCCAAAGACCTGTCCGAGCCATACAGCATCTACGTCTACCGCTACTTCCTCTACCAATGGGGCGACCTGTGCTTCCTGGCCTTGGACAAGGACGATACCATGGTCGGCGTCGTCGTGTCCAAGCTTGAGACACACCGTGGCGGTCCGATGAGAGGGTACATCGCCATGCTGGCCGTGCGCGAGGAGTTCCGCGGCCGGGGAATCGCCACGGAGCTGGTGCGAATGGCTATCGACGCCATGATTGCGCGCAATGCAGATGAGGTTGGTATCTTGCTTCCGATTTCGCGACTGGGAATGAAGACTCGGTGTTTGTGGACGCGTGTGCTGACACCGGTTTCAGATCGTCCTCGAAACCGAAATCACAAATACCGCCGCTATCAAACTGTACGAGCGCCTCGGGTTCCTCCGCAGCAAGCGTTTGCACCGGTACTATCTGAACGGCAACTCCGCCTACCGGTTGGTGCTATATCTCAAGGAAGGGGTGGGCTCGATTCGTACTCAATATGATCTCTACGGCACACCACATGGAGGGTCTGCCAACCCGTCGGGTACTGCGACCCCACTGTTCCAGGAGAATGGAGGCGCTTTGATTTGATACCCCTTGTTGGCGGTACTTGGTCGGCAAAGAACGTGCTCCCGCGCACGAAATGTTATGACAAGCTTATGAAATGACCAGATAGATATGACAGGAATTGCTTGGAACCGGTGTTCTGACTTTATTATAGAACGGAACGGAATTGATCTACAGGCTTCCCTCTCTTCGTCTACTCATCCCTTTTTACCTCTCTCTCTCTCGCTACTTTGACCCAAATTTGGAAACGTGAGCCTACTCATATCAATTGTAGTTCACAGCACAGTCTTGGTACCTTGATCTCACGCAAGGTAAATGAACTTGTCCCGGACGGAGCCATCACCGATGCCTTTGTTAGTTCTAGCGGGGAGTCGTCTCAATGCAGGACATGGAAGCACAAATCACAGATACAACCCATAGCATACAGTTAGGAGGCTAAGTTCCAGACTGCTTATATTTAGCACGGCGGTCGAAGGCGGCGGAACCGGACCTTTGTGGATGCTGAGAGCAATGAATACATACCCTTCAATGTTATTGCGATTGAAATCATTCTCATGTCAAGTATTCATACACACCCAAATATATATACAGTCAAAGACATACACTCATGTCGAAACCTTCACAACCCATCCGAACGAGACTACCTAAGACTTCGGCCTTAGTACATATCGATACGTCGTTCCAAGATGATACCGCTTTTCTTCAACGACCTCTAACCCACTCTCACGAATGATCTCCCCAATATCACGATTCCACCAACAACCATGGCGATCCGCATGCGCCGCTGCAAGATTGTCCAAAATGCGGTTCACCCAGTCGTAGTGCGAGCGGCCATGCTCCAGCAGCAGGATCCGACCATGGCGCGGCTCAGTGATAGATCCCAAATGGCGCAGCGTCGCCACGGGATCCGGCATCGAGCACAAGCCCATCGTCTGCACGATGGTATCATAGTAAGGCATTGCAGGCGTAGCCGGCGGCTGCACGGCGCCAGCATCCTGAGCGCGGAAGGTCGCGAAGCGGAAATCCGGATACAGGGATTCGAATTTCCGGCGGGTGATTTCCACCATCTGAGGGCTGAGGTCGACAAATGTCACACTCCGACAGCCGCTGACCTGGGCATGGCCCTTATCATCGACGCCGCGCCGCTCGCCCAGTTCGTAGAACTCGAGGTTCCGGCCCGTGCCGCAGCTTACTTCGAGGGTGTTGCCGCGCGCCAGTTGGAGGAGGGCTTTGCGTTTTGCGCCTATGCGCATCACTTTTTCGGACGTTTCCACGTCGGCGTCGAAGCCTGATGCCGTGTCATTGTATCTGTCTGAGACATCTTGCGGGATGTCAAGGGACTGTGACTTGGCAACTTCTTTTTTATAAGACGTGTATAACAAGCCGCAGTACAGGCCGATGCCTAGGATTCCTGCCGCGAATGCGGTCAGGACTCGGGGTGAGATGCCGCCTTTTGGTTGTTGTTGTTGTTGTTCGGCCGTGAGTCTTTCCAGGTGCGGGTTGGTCCGCCTTTGTGCTGGGGGGTTATAGCTGGCAGATGGTTAGGTTTAGGCAATGCGATTCGCTGTGAGGCAATTGATACATACCTCTGCTGTGGACGGGCTTTGGTCTTCGCTCCGCGCGAGGAAGTAGCGGACCACCTGGGCGCGCTCACGGCGACTCTGGCGATTCGAATCGTGTTCATGTCGTCTGCAATGGGCAGGTCGACTGCCCGCGCTCTATGGGAGCTGCAATGGTGTGAGATGGGTGGTGCGGTTGCGCGAAATTTGATGGACCGTATCGTGTCGGGGAAATAATTTTTCGCGGAGACGTGATCAATTCATCCTTCGACACGATCCAGAAAATCGCCGAGATTCAAAAAACACCCAGACCCTGACACTTGCCTCGCAGGCTCAACCCGAGCTCCAAAGCTCGCGCGTCGTCCCAGGAGAAGTCGGAAGGGCGCCCTCCCCCCCGAGCCGAGTCCGTTATCGGCTTATCAACGACATTAGTAGCCGAGGGCCTCTCTTTTCATTCTCGTACTGTGTGCACCGTCACCTCTCGCAATGGCGCTTCCACCAAAGATCCTGATTGTGGGTGGAGGAGTGTTTGGATGTAAGTGGTCCAAAGCGTGAGATCTCTGATCATCTACTACATATAGACTAACATATATTCAGTATCAACCGCTCTGGCCCTAACCCAACGACACCCAGAATCCCAAGTCACCCTGGTGGAAGCGTCACCCACGATCCCCAACCCGTACGGCTCCTCCGTGGACACCTCGCGCATCGTGCGAGCAGACTACGCCAGCGCGGCGTACTCCAGACTAGCCGCGGCCGCCATCGAGCGCTGGCGCAACACAGCCTGGGGCCGCGAGGGCCGGTACACGCAGAATGGACTTCTGCTCGTGTATCCAGACGACGGCGCTAACTCCAGTGCACGCGAGTATGCGCGGAAGAGCTACAACAATGTTAAACGTATGGAGGGCAACAAGGTCGAGTTCCTGCCCTCCAAAGCGGACGTGCTCAGGGTTGTCCCTGCGTATGGCGACGAGCTGGATGTGGCCGGTGGGTATGTGAATTGGGGATCTGGGTGGTCTGATGCGGCGGCTGGTGTGCGGTTTGCGAGGGAGCAGCTCGAGGGAACGAACGTGGTGTTCAAAACGGGCGATGTGCAGCGTGTGCTATACGACTCTGCCTCCAATGCGACGACGGGGGTCGCCCTGTCCGACGGCTCGATCATCTCCGCCGACTTGGTGATTCTCGCAACAGGCGCGTGGTCACCCAAGCTCGTCGACTTGCGCGGCCGGGCCGTGGCGACCGGCCAGGCGATTGCGTACATGCGCATCTCGGACGAGGAGCAGCGCGCGCTGGAGAATCTGCCTACGATCCTCAACTTTGCAACGGGGATCTTCATCATCCCGCCGCGAGACAATCTGCTCAAGATCGCGCGCCATGCATATGGATACCGCAATCCGACGACCGTGTCGCTGGGCAATGAGACTGTGCAAGTCAGTCTGCCGGAGAAGGACGTGCCCGTCCCCGCTGAAGGACAGGAAGCGTTCCGGGATGCGCTGAAACAGCTTCTGCCGCGGTTTGCGGATCGGCCGTTTTGCGATACGCGGATTTGTTGGTATACCGATACGTAAGTTGTGTCCGTCTACATCTTCCGGTGCGGTGCTCAGGCTGACAACCGGCATTATTTACAGACCGCAAGGCGACTTCATCATCTCGTATCATCCTGCGCACAAGGGTCTCTTCCTCGCGACTGGCGGCAGCGGGCATGGATATAAGTTCCTTCCTGTGCTGGGGGATAAGATTGTTGATGCGCTGGAGGGTAGGCTGGAGCCTGAATTGCAGGCATTGTGGGATTGGAATGCGACGACACCGGGAGCGCACGACCTCTTCGATGGAGACGGGAGCCGGTCTGGTGAGAGGAACTCGAACCTGAAGGAAGAATTGGCCAAGACGAGGAAAGCTGGTAGGGGGAGTGCTTTGTAGATATAGTGGATGGTGTATATAGATAGACCCCAGCCGAGCGCAGGTACTTGGTGATATAGATACATGTGGACGCAGAACTACCTGGTTTACCAGTCTACAGAGAAGACAAAAGATATATCTTGCAATATTTCATTTTCTGCCTAACGGATAAGCCTTATCAGAGCGAGGCATAATAATCAAGTCAAAAAAATAAAAGGAGCCGCCGCCGGCAACAAAGCATGGACGGAATCTAAAGAAGTCAAAAAAGATTTTTTTTGGGTCCACGAGGTTTCCTCCGTGGATGAAAAACACAAGGCGCAAAAAATTCAAGAATTAGGAGGCAGCCATTCGACCAGCGCAGGAAACCACCCCACTGCAGTTGTGCAGCAATCTAATTTGTAGAAGGGGGAAAAGAGGAGAGAAAACAAACCGGGGATCATCCGAATCGCTAGAACGCCAAACAATGCTTGCATGAAAGGATCATGAGGGAGAACGCGTGGAAGACCAATGTGTCGACCAGAAGAAGAGTGTTAATACATGGGAAGTGGAAGAAGAGCAAGCCCTGGCGTTTTCTTCAAACCTTGCGGAAGTCTGGACAAGTTAGTGTCAAAGCTTCGAGTTCGTCAGTCTGCGCAACATACCAGAAAGCACCGGGTAGATCAGCTCAAAGGCCTGATAGATCTCCTCACGCACTTTGGCGCCCGTCAGGACAATCTTGCCACTGACGAAGATCAAGAGCACAATCTTGGGCTTCATCATGCGGTAGATCAGACCGGGGAACAACTCTGGCTCGTACGAGCTGAAGTTGTGATGGCGGCTCGCCAGACCCTCCAGACGGATGGGGAACTTGATGTCGCAGGAACCAACAATGTTCTGGATCTTGAAGTCCGTGAACTTGGCATTGAAGCCAAGTTTCTGGATGATGCGCGCGTACTTGCGGGATGCCAGCTTCGAGTCATCCTCGGACTTGGCGCCCGTCACGACCATCTTGCCCGAGGCGAAGATCAACGCAGTGGTCTTGGGTTCACGGATACGCATGATGACGGCCGCGAAACGCTATTCACAGAGACAGACAGTAAGCCACACGACCCTGATGATGCAATGCAGCTCTCGAAGGATGTGTCTATACCTTTGGATTGTACTCGGCGTTGCGAGCATGCAGCGCGATCGTCTTCAGATCCAAACGACAGTCAAGGTTGACGGTGGCGACGATGTTTCTTGAAGGATTCAGCATTCTGCTGGGAGTCACAACATCAGAGTTGCGGTATACTCACTGCAAGGTCGGCACGATGCCACTCCCCGGGTTCGTGGCCCCAGGCGTCGCAGCGGGAGTTGTGGGTGTCACCCCATTGCCGTGGGCGGCATTCCCTCCGAGTTGCTGCTGGCCGTTATTCTGGAGCACACCCTCTTTCTCAGAGGAAGGCGGCGTCAAGTCGCCGGCCCCGCCGGGGAAGGAGAGCGACGAGGGCGAAGTGAAGGCACGAGCCTGGACGGCGTTGGATGGGTGGGTGGTGAGCGAATCCATGTTGCCGACCAGCCAAAGACCGATGTCACGATGATGAGAGATCCAGAGACCGACAACTGTGGCGTGGGGATGGTTAGTGAATGGGATCGTCACCAGGCCGAGGTGTGAGAGAGCACAGCGAGGTCCGAGTTGAAGGAAGGTCACGTGCTGCTCAGTCACGGGATCAAAGCCTACTCACCACTGGGAGATGGACAAATCAATGCCTCCCCTACAGTTCAGTCGGGGTTGTCGAGGTGAGACGATAATGAGATCAAAATCGCATGAACGACGAGCAGGAGAAAAGCACACTGAAGTGTTTTCTGAAAAACTTTTTTGAGTGGGGGAGGGGGGAGGGAGTTCGGGAGGTGCTTGGAATGGGATTTTGGTCTATCTGTGCGAGTCTGAAGGAGAGTGGCGAAGCAAAAACAAGCTTCGTTTTTTAGAGCCTCTGGGAAAGGGAAGAAGAAGCCGATCTTCTTGATATTAGGCAGAGGTGAGGGAGAGAGCGAGAGAGAGAGGGGAGGGAAGAAACGTTGTTCCGGGGATTGCCAAGACCGCGACAGGAATCTCAGGCGGACGAGGGTGTGGGAGGTTGCGCCCTTTTATAGTGCTGAGTCACTGGCCGCAGTCAGGGGAGGCTGGACCACGGTGGCGCCAAATCGGGTCCTGCTAGCGGCTCCGGGTGGGTGGCTGTGGCCAATCAGGTCCAGCTTCATCCCTGATTGGTAACTACCGGACCCATCGACGGTGCTCCTATTGGATCACACATTGTCGTTCCCTGGTTGCAGCCAGTCCGCATCGCTCCTGCCGCCAGAGACTAGTCGTTCTTTCGCCCTCTCCCTGTCCAATCACCGTCATCGACTACTCGCGCTCTCTCGGTCGACGCGGCGACCCATCCCACCGGGGGGCGAACTAAAACTGGGTTCGTTGCCTCCAAGGGGGAATGAATCATCGACCACTGGAGGGCGACAGTCGGGGAAATTGTTGTGGTGGACAGACCCAAATATGCAGGCGATGCACCGTTGGAATTCCCATCAGGCCAGCGTGGCCGAACGGACCTGTCGGCTGGTGGCGGCAGAGGTGCGATCCACCGCCCGCCCAAACGGGATGAGTGACTGGCGGCCTGGTCGATCTGTCAGGCGGTATGCTGAATACCATACCCGGCATGGGACCTGCATTCTTACCGTAAATACCGTCAGACCATCTCTAAGAGAACCACCGTAGATAAATGATGGCGATGGACGACCGAAGACGGCCTGATTGAATCCCATACGGATCGACGGAGGATATACTACAGGAACTACCTAGAGAATCATCATGACTCCCGATGCCACTTCTTCGGACCGGGTGAACGGGATGAGCAAGACCTGATTCGCATCGCCGACCCGCTGATTGGCTGATCCCGTCAACCGAGGATAGGCGGTTTTCGGCGATTTCGTCGTCAACGTGAACTGCTCCATACGATTCCCACAGAACATGTCCTTCCACTAACCATTGCACACCACGATGGCGTCCAAACGCGCTGTCTTACCTCTGCTGAGGCGCCAACTACGACCCTCCTCCGCATCGTCCCGCCGAGTATCCCTCTCCTCCGCTATCAAACCCTTCCCCCCAACAGACACCTGACCCGACCGGCCCACGTCATTCAAACCCGCGCCTTTTCGCAGGCAGTAACCCGACGCTTCACCGACGAAAATGGAGACTTCGACCCGCGCTCATTGG